TCCCATCCCTGAAGACAATAGTATATGACATCATGATAAATTACATATCATTGTCTGATTTGAGAGATATTATTAAGGGATGGAGCTCTCATTTGGCTAAATTCTTGGATGCGATTAATTATTGGACTTATTCTGGAAACAAGAAGCCAAAGAAGTTCAATGTTACAGTTATCAGAGACGAGACTGCGCCACAACAAACGCCGGAAGCCAGAGGGGATTGTGGTCCTCTCGTATGCATGTGCTTGGAGCGTTTGACGACATGAAGTACACAGTTTCTACCTTCCACCGATAGAGATAGAGGTGCAGTAGGCTTTTGGTTTCGGCATTTTATGGTTAGAGCGATATATTCGAGACGTTGCCTACCTGCATCCGCGTTATGAAAGTGTCCATAAACAATTTGTAAGTCAAATGCAAGTGTTGTTAAGTACCTAGAATTCAATAATAATTTGTTGTTTGTTGGTTTTAGATGTGTAGAAAGTGTTATTTGAGAAAATGTTTGGTTTCTGCAGGTTAATTCTGAAGTGAGCTGCGTGAAATTGATGTATGGGTGCATAAACAACTGTACGGGGTACACTTTTTTTTATTGTTTAATTGATTCTTAAAAGTCTGATTTGTTTAATTGATGAGGAAAATAAGAATTATTATCATTTTTTGCTTGTTTAATTGATTTATAAAAACTGATTTGTAAAAGTTGATTTGTTTAATATTGATGTGTAAATAATTATTATTTGTGCTTGTTTAATTGATTGAAATGTAAAAGTTGATTTGTTGATTTCAATCTGCATCATATTGAAGGCAAAAGACCTGTTGGAGGTACACTTTCGCAACGCTAAACTCAAAATCGCAATGCGAAAGACAAAATCGCAACGCGAAAGTCAATTCGCGTTGCGATAGTCTAATACGCTTTACGATTTTCTCGTTGTGATAGTCAAATACCCGTTGCGATAATCAAATTCGCGTTGCGATACTCAAATTCGCGTTGCGATAGTCAAATTCGTATTGCAATTTTCTCGTTGCGATAGTCAAATAGCCGTTGCGATAGTCAAATTCGCGTTGCGATAGACAAATTTGAGTTGCGATTTTTGCGTTGCGATAGTCATATTCGTGTTGCGATAGTCAAATTCGCGTTGCGATTTTTGAGTTGCGATAATCAAATTCGCGTTGCGATAGTCAAATTCGCGTTGTGATATTCAAATGAATGTGTAATAAGTGATAACAACTGAACATATCATAGCAATGTTCAAACTCAAGTTACTAATACATGCCTAACTGAAAATGTTAAAAGTTTACACATAAAATACACATAATAGTCAAATTCGCGTTGCGATATTCAAATGAATGTGTAATAAGTGATAACAACTGAACAGATCATAGCAATGTTCAAACTCAAGTTACTAATACATGCCTAACTGAAAATGTTAAAAGTTTACACATAATACAACGTTTGCATTTAAAAATCACCTAAGTTAATAGTCCCAAAAGGTGAAACCGGTTGTGATTGGGATTTTGATTTTGATTGCGATTTTGATTGCCTTTTTCTTGACACCATATGAGCTTTGGATTTTGATGAGGATCCATATTTTGGTAGAGGAAAAGATGATTGTGATGGCATTGGTGATCCACATGTCAACCTTGTATGACCACTTTCCTTGCACCGACTACATGTTGATCTCTTCTTCTCTTCACCCTTAGACGATATACGATCATGACTTTTTGGTCGGCCAGGTAGCCTTTTATCCATGGCTGTTGGCAAAACTGTTTGTAAGTCATCTGGTATGTCCCACTCAGAAGGATGTGGAATATGGTAGATAATCTCGGCATAAGTTTGTCGATATAATTCTGTAGTGTAGCAATCCACATCGTATGCGCTTGAATCATCTTGGTTTAGATGAAGAGCAACTTTTATAACATGCCCACATGGATTACCAGATATTTGTCATTTCATACAACTACACGTCTTTGCATTTAGATCGACAAGCCCATTTAAGTTATTATCCAGTACTTCAAACAAAGTGTTTGAACATGGTTCAACTCTTCATGACGTTGACTTCACAACACGTTTCGTTATATTTTTTTCAGTCCATGGTGTAACACGAAGTTCCAATGTTCTTATAATTTTAAATAAATAATACTTAGTAAAATATATGATAAGTTGCGAATTTAAAGAAATAATACATGCATGGTTTCTTTTCTTGTAGTACCACTGTTGAATAGAGGCTCGAAAAAACTCCATTAACATAGTAATGGGTAATTTCCGGGAATGACGACTTAGAGCGTTGATTGATTCTGCACTATTAGACGTCATGAAACCATATCTTGCTCCAAGTTGATGTACTCTTGACCATCTTTCAAACCCGACATCTTCTAGTGTTTGAGCACACTGAGGCAAAACATGTCTTAAACAATTTATATGCTTATTAAAATCCACTTCCCGATAAGCTTTTACAGCCTCCCAGTATGTCCATTTGTGATTTTTTATACCAGCAGACCTTGATTTTAGATTTCTATATAAATGAACACCACAAAGTCCATGAAAAAATCTGGGAAACACCTTCTAACAGCGTTGTCAATTGAGTTTGCCCTATCGGATATGATTGTCAGATTGCTAATAGGACCTATGCAATTCCTAAGATGCCCTATAAACCATGTCCATGAATCAGAGGTTTCAGATTTGCCAACCCCGTAAGCTATTGGCAGTATCTCATTGTTAGCATCCATAGCTACTGCTAATAAGTTTACTCCAAGGTATCGACCTTTTAAATGTGCTCCGTCAACTATAATAACTGGGCGCATGCAAGTAATAAACGAACGAATCTACAAAATCATATACACAAGAAATATAATCATTTAAATGTGAAATGCATGTAACTAACAAAAATGAGTCAACAAAATTATATTGATTTACTAACCGCAGCACCAATGGCGATAAACAACAACTCAAAGCGTCCATCTCTATTTGTTTTGATATGAGTTACCGACCTAGGATTTTTCAACTTTAAATTGTGACAATAAGCCGGCAGTTGGGCAAACGATGCTTCTGGCGACCCCCTCAACAATTCTAAGGCATAACATTTGGCTCTCCAAGCTTGAGAATATGAGATACTAATCTTGAACCGAGCATTCATGTCAGTCATAATTTTATGTCCCCGATATACCCTGCCATTCAAAAACATTAACTCAGCCAGAAAACCACCAAATACCTTTTTGTTTGCCTGTCTATGGTGAGGAAAAACTTGGGTTCTTGAACATGTATGTTTATCAATAAAAGTCCTAACTTGAAATATTTCGCAATCTTTTATCCTCTTTGCAATCATACGCCAAGTATAGTTTTTTTCAATCATACACCTTGTTTCGAAACGATCTTTGCTTGATTTGTTAACTTTTAGTTGATAGGCATCTTCCACACATTTCGTATACAAAGCTATATTCAAGTCTTCCTTTGTATCAAAACAATCATCTTACTTGATACGAATAATTTTTGTGTAACAATCAACTGCTATTTTTACCAACTCTTCTTCCGGTATCTGAAGTAATTCTGGCATATTCCAGTTATACTCTCGTGGCATTTTCTTCGGGGACTTTTCTTTGGGGATTTCTTTTTCTTCTTCTTCTTCTTCAGGGTTATATGAATTACATAATGGATGTTCAACATGTTCATTCACAGTCGTAACTTCCTCCTCATTATCATCAACAACATCTTCCTAGGCAGCGGCTGTTTCATCATCAAAATTCGGGTATTAATCAATATCAAAATCATTACATGCAGGGTCTGTTTCTTCTTCTGAAACATCATCAAAATCCGAGTATTGACCAATATCAAAGTCCGGGTATTGACCAAGATCAAATTTTGAATACCGACTAGTACTCACAATTTTTTCTGTTGGCTCATCATCGTCTAACTGGTTAATACGAAAACCGGAATTTGGTGCTGAAAGTTGATTGGGATTTGGATTAGGGAAAGGTTGTGGGTTTTGAGATTGTGTTTGGTATTGGAAATGTGGTGAAACAAAATTTGCTTGATGATGAAATTGTGGTGGAACCATTAAATTTTGAGCACCATAAACTGTGGTTGAAAAACTTAGTTGATTACTACCCGCTACTGACCCAACTTCACTACTTCTAGGTTCAACAACATACAATGTAACATCATCTTGCGAAACACTAATGTAAGCAATGAATCGTTCAACATATTCATTGTCGGTTAACAAATAAACTTTACATTTTCTCTGATAAGATAGCCTAAATCAACTTAAGGGCTCTAAATTCAATTTATTTGCAACACGTAACATTAGAGTTTCATAAGTTAATTTTTTTAATGACAGTTTTAGTTGAAGATTCATAGGTAAATACGTATATTGTAAAACACCATGAACATTCTCCCATGACCCTCCAAAACACAAATTTATCCAAACATGATCAACATTAGATGATTTCATTATTGTAAATTAATTTACTAAACAAACGAGCTGCGAAACTAAAATCTGTTGCCGGATGGGGAAGAATGTCGTTGGATATAAGAACGGATGTCGCCGGAGAGAGTGATAGATGGAGATGGAATGAGTTGCGATTTAGAAATTTAGGTTATGAGTTGCTTCTGCTGCGTAGTTATATACCCAAAACATTTGTGTTGCGAAACTACAACCTGTTGCGAATTTGAAATTCAATGTTGCGACAGTCAAAATCGCGTTGCGATAGTCATAATAGCATTGCGATTTACATATTCGCATTGCGATAGTCGAAAAATCACAACGCGAATTTGGAAAATCGCAATGCAATAGTTAGAATCGCGTTGCGAATCTGAAAACTGATTTACGATACCGGAGAACGCGTTGCGAATTATCGATCGCATTGCGATTTAGTTGGTCATTTTAACAAATCTAAAAAAAATTGGTTAAAATCGTATATTATAAAATATTTTTGATCACTGAGGTTATTTTCTCTATTATATATATGAATGGGGTATTATCTCTGGGATGGCAGAACACAGCATTAGGATGATGTGTAGGTAAGTGCAGAAAAACTCGATATTATAACGATCATGTTGAAAAGAGGTTCGTGGAACCGATACGTCAGCACGATACAAGGTAAAGCTTCTATGAAATTAGCCGTGAACTAGCTTCAAACTAGTTTGTTACTGGTTAATTTCTAAACGTGTTGTAATAACTATACTGCAAATATTACATGCTTCTCTACAACCTAGAAGGGTGAAAAAGTTTATCAACTGGTACTGGCACACATTTGAGGTACTTATTGTTCAGGACCATTAGTCTTTTTCTTCTAAGGGCTGAAGTTGGACATGCGGACAAGGCCTTTCCGGTTCTCCTCGTGTCCAGAGAGTTTTGAGATCACCCCTCTTCTTCCCCAATGTAATAAAGGTACCTGAATCCGAACAAGAGATGATTGGTAAGAGAAATAAAGTGAAAGATAACATTTCACCGGGGGTTTATGAGGACGGCAATATATGTTACTGCAACTGTGCCACTTTCAATATCATTGCTACTTACCGAGTGTGAAAGGAACAATGTATAGCAAAGCAGGTTGGCCGTGTCCATCCATCATGTTCAAGGCCACATATGTGACCAGAAGACCTGTGCAATTATTTTAAACAAATAAAAGTAATGAGTCAATGGTCATTATGTTGCAAGATGGGCAATGAAACAAACTGCTAAAAGATGTATATTCCTACTACATTTTTTGGAGCAGAGTAAATCGGTTCAATATCATTTTCTTCACCTTTGAATCGGAACCAAAAGAATTTTTATTCAAGTTTGAGACTTAACAATTTTTCATACCTAAACCATAAGCAGTCATTGCCCATATAAAGTACCCTGCTCGAAGAGGCGTTTTTGTCAGCCAATCATACCTACAAAAAAGAAAACATTAACATGAACAGTCAAAGAACACTAAAGATACCAAACATAAGAAACCAATCTCATTGTTGGAACAAATCCGTGTACCATTACTTATCAATAGAATACTCTTAAAACAAACAGAACCAAATATTTCCAGTTTAAACTATGCCACAAATCTAGTTTGACTAATGGCAGGTTCATAAGGCACAGTAACATAATTCATGGATTTGTAGATGTAAACATTGTACATATGACCTATTCATGGATTTGTAGATGTAAACATTGTACATATGACCTATTAACAAATTACGATCAGCATGTTCTGGTCTTATGGTTATAAGGTCTTACACTATACCAAAGCATAAAGAATTAGCAAATATAACTAAGACCAAGATTAATTTATAGATCAAGTGGAAAGATAGTAGTCATTCAAACCTTAGTGAAAATGCCACAAGCAGTCCAGGTAAGATTATGTCTCCAAATCCAATAACACTGTAGCCACCCCAAGGATCATACATCCGGGGAATTTTTAGTAACATTGGTATGCCATCCTCTCCACTTCTATCACCACGGGCAACCTATAATAGAAAGAAAGAAAAATATCATTCCCTCAACTGACCAAATGGTTTACAGGTACATAATTCAATGGCGAAGAGATAATATTTATAATCACTTACCACTATCATCACGCTCTCATGAAACCACCATTTGGAGACAAACACCCAGAAGATATCATACAAGAAAGCACAACCCAGAAGAACTGTACCAACCTGATTCAACACAATTCACCACTAAAGAGCATAATTTTTTCCCAACCCTTTAGTTGTTCTCATATGTAAACTACTTACATGCATAAATTACCCTTTATGTACAGAAGCATGGAGAAAAATAAGACTCGTACAATAGCAAAACATTCATGTGTCTCTTAAGTAGTAGGTAGAATAAAGCCAAGTAATCAAGATACTCACTTTGAGATTTGGCACGCGAACAATCTGAAGGACTGTGATTATAAGTGCAATACCCTGATTAAAAGGGGGAAAAAGGGAGTTCATATATCACCAGTTTACCATGATAAGAACGTAAATCAAACTAATTTCCAAGCATATTAATTTTCAATGAGAGCAAGATGACACTACTCACTACAAGAAAATGGTCACATCAGATACAATATAAGCATCTGAATTCTGAAGAAATTCAGTAACCAAGAAAAGTAACAATAACATAAGGTACTAGAATGTTGTCTTACAAGAATATCTTGACCTATCCAGGCAAAGGAGATAACACGGTACACTGCCCAAACAACAGCGAATGCTATGCAGAAGGGACAAACAGCCAATGTCAGATGCGAAACAGCTCCAAAGAAGGGTACTTTAATAAATGATTCTGCAAAGCCTTTAACACACCTGAAGCTGAAGATACTTGGCTGTCAGTGTCGTATGATTTATAACTTGTTTGTTAAAACAAAGAAAGAAATCGCACAAATACTACTAGTACTGCTGATTTTAAAATAGAGATTTGATTGCTGATTTCATTTTACACATATTTCTGAGGAAGACTTTGGTTTTAAATATTTTTTATTACAGTCACGAGGAAGTAGAACTATCAAGATGGTACACATCCATAGAAAAGCATGGCAGAGGAATATGCATACCATGATAATAAAGTCACCAAGCACGTTTGCAGGCCTGGAAGTATAAAAGGATATCCAGGATCAGCAGTCATCTCAAAGAATCTTCCCTACCCCACCCACAACCTTATGTCCTTCTATAGGGTCTTATGACGAGTGAATGTCAGTAAAAGTAACATATGGATATAAATGTAGCATCTCATTGAGTGGAGTTTACTACAGACATGTTTATTCAACATGTTTCATTAAAATAAACATTGCACAAGCAGTCATGGGTTCTCAAGGAAGTTGCATTTTTTTCTATTGGTTCAAGCGCATAAATCGATAATTATTGTCCTTAAAATTGACAAATTATATTGAGAACCATGAAACTATTTTAGTAGGTAATGTATCTTTTAGATAAATTATATTAAGCTGGAAGCATTGTGAGCCCTGCATCTCACACATCCAAGATTATCGACATGTCTAAAATCCAGCCTCAGTAAAATCCTAATGGAATAGACTGGAGCGATCACCAATGTAATGACACAGACAAATGCTGATGCTCAATAAGGAATAAGGTGTAGCATGTCCTTTCAGTTGCAAGGTGCTTGACATTCATAAGATATGCATGTGCAAAAATTGCAGCTTCCATTAAATGGCTTTCGTAAATCATAATCATTAGTCATATTAAGGACCCTTCAACATAATAAGCCTCGGCTAGAACTTTTAGCAAGATCCTCAAAAGAACAGATCAAAAACAGGAAGATGAGAAGCAAATAAAAGAAAACTAGCATCATCATAAAACCTTAAAACTGCCAGCAAAAATATCCAGAACTGTGTGAGAGATAATAAGTTGCTCCGTAGTAACTTGTGAACTACAATAACAAGAATGAAGAAATAAGGGTGTGTTTGTTTGCCGTAATTGGAATTACGGAATTGGTTTTCCCCGAATTCCCGTGTTTGTTTCACGTAATTCGTTTTCCGGAAAATGTTTCCCGTGTTTGTTTCACGTAATTCGTTTTCCGGAAAATGTTTTCCCGTGTTTGTTTCTCGTAATTGGTTTTCCGGAATGTAATTCATTTTCCTAGTAACAGAATTTCCTTGTGTTTTTCTGTAAAATGACTTACGGATTCATTTTCCGTAAGTCGTTTTCCGAACTTTTCACTTTAAAGAATAAATACTCAAAATAATTTTATTTTATGAATTTAATATTAATAAAATATTTTAATATCTTTTTCATCAAAATATTATTTATTTATTTATTAATATTTATAATAATATAATATTATTTTAATTATATATAAATAATCAATTATAATAATATAAGATATTATATATTTATTTTAATATTATATAATAAAAATCTTTATATATTTAATAATGAATAATATTATTTATATATTTAAATAATATTTAATAAAGATATTTAAAATATACTAATTAATATTTTTAAAATATAATATAACACTATTACTTTAATAAATAATTAATATAATTCATAATATTTTATTTCACTAAAATATACAAAAATTATTATTTTTATTAATAAAATTATAAAAATAATATTTAATAATAAATAAATTATTTTAATATTTTAAAGTAATAATATTAAACTTTATGATAAATAATATTATTTATTATATTTAATATTTGTAATAAATAATTTTTAAAAAACTCTTCAACTAGTGGAAAAAATGTTTAAATAACATCTTTCAAACATCATAAAACGTTTTCCAGATGTTTTTCAAAAAATTTAATTCATTTTACGAAAAACATTTTCCGGAAAACGTTTTCCAGAAATGTAATTCATTTTCCAGAATTCAAATTCCAATAATTCATTTTCCAGTTCCAGTAATTCATTTTCTGGAAAACTAATTACAGCCAAACAAACAGACCCTAAGTCACACTGATCTAAGCATAGAGATATACGAAGACAAGCTCACCTCTACTCCACCAATGCAAAAGAGAACCACCAGAACCTCAATAAACCAGAATGACATAAGCTTGTAAAGCATGACCAAGAAACATGAAGCAACCACAACAAATAGAATTGCTGACTTTGTATTTATGTCAACAAAACACTAGACCTGCACCTCCAACTTGTAGTACTTCTGATGATGCATCCTGTGCCA